CTTGGTCCTATGTGGGGCGTGCTCGCACCCCTTGAAAATATTTCCAAGTCTCCTTCCAGATGGGAAAACTGGGCATCCATGGAGGAGGTCCAGGGAGGTCGTGGTCCCTCATTGGATCTAGTCATTGGAGGATCCCCTAAAATATTTCTAAGTCCCCTTCTGTGGTGCAGACAGGCCAGGGCTAGCCAGGGAGGTCCAGGGAGGATGCCCTGGTCTTAGAAGGTACCTACCAAAAAGGTTTCTAATCTGCGGTGGTGCAGACCAGACTGGATGGGCCAATGTGGCTTGGGGAATGTGACCACAGCTGGGCCAGTTCCCTCTTGTGCCCTGGTCATCATATTCTTTCACCCAGGGAGGGTGCACCAGCCCAGGCCAGCAAGAGGCTGAGTGTGGGGGCACCGGGCCCAGTGTTGGTCCTGCTTGGGTGCCAGTCTTTACGAGCGCTTCCAGTAAAGATTTCTAAGTCCCTCTCACTAGGCTGGGACCAGTTCAGTCCAGAGAGGAATGCTTGAGGCTAGGTATGCCCTTGGAAGCGATCTCATGAGGGGCTCGGTAGCCACATGTGATTCCCAAAAATTGTTTTAAGTCCTCCTCTGGTATGGAGCCCTAGGGCGCAGTGGTTAAGAGCTCGGCTGTTAACCAAACCGTCGGCAGTTCGAATGCACCAGCTGCTCCTTGGAAACCTTATAGGGCAGTTCTACTCGGTCCTATGGGATGTCTAACAGTCGGAATCGACTCCACAGCAAGAGGTATATATGCGGGAGGGGGAGATTGCCTTGGGATATCCAGGGAGGCCGGTGGAGGGCGCCCTCACCAGGCCACAGTCTCATGTGGGCCCTGGTCATCAGGGGCACCTTCCAGAAATTATTTCTATGTCCCCGGGCCAAGGCCAGAGATAGCCTAGGCCAGCCAGGGAGGCCCGAGGAGAGTGGCTCAGTCCCAGCCTGACACACACACACCCCACCCCCCAATGCTGTGGGCCCACGGACAGTCGAGTGAGACACGGACGAGGCCAGCCTCGGGTCCAGGTCTGTCTAGGTCGTGCCTGTTGTCGGGCGCCACCTGGAGGCCGCTTTTGTATCGTCCCCCCCGAGCTCTGCCTGCCTCTGCGTGGGATGGGATTCTGCTGCAGAGCCCAAACCTGAGTTCCAGGCAGGGCTTCGAACCGGTTCATTTCGGTTTGAACCCGTGCATTAAATACTTCTCAGGCCAAAGTATGCTTGCCCAAAACCTTCCCTCTCTGCCTGGAATGCCCCCGGGGTAGGGCCCCGACAGTGTGCCCATGACCTTGTGATTAGAAAAGGAAGAAAGGAAATTTAAGATGCTGACCGTGCCAGCCGGAGGGGCTGCGTCAGCACCAGGAAATGAAACTGCCCGGGCTGGTTTCCTGCCTGAGTCAACGGGGGCATGGAGTGCTGGGGCTTGCAGGCAGGAGGGACACTAGGAAAGGTGGGGTGGAGTAGGGTGACCACAGAGCTGGGGGGGCAAGACGCCCCTCACCTGAACCCCCAGGGTCGCCCCAGTTCCCGCAAGTCACGAGGACACGTGGTTTGGGGTCAGGAGCTGCGGATGCCTAGACAGTGAGCTCACGGCAAGGCGGGCGGGCAGCGGAACAAATGTGGCTTCCATTTCCCTGAAGCCAGCGCTCTCTGGCTCGGCTGAGAGGTAAGCCTTGCGGTGGCTGAATCTCCCTCCCCCCAGACAACAAACACACACACACAGTCTCCTTTCTTAAAAAGTCCTGCTCGGAAAGGTTCCAGCTTGAAAATAGGCCTAGGGACTTCATCCTCGGGCCTCCCCAAGCTCCCAGCTGCCTCCCTGACCGTGTGTGCTCGTTTAGGACTGCTGTGTGGCCCTGGGCAACTCGCCAACCTTCTCTGGGCCTCAATTAGGGAATTGCCTATAAAATTAGAGGCTAAAGTAGAATGTTCATGTTTCCCAAACTACTCATTTGATCCTAGCCAATGTTTGCCATTTCATGTAGCACCTGTACTACTGACTTAATAAAAAATAAATTAAAAAACCCAAACTCGTTGCCATTGAGTCGATTCCGACTCATATCCACCCTATAGGACAGAGTAGAACTGCCTCATAGGGTTTCCAAGGCTGTAACCTTTACAGAAGCAGACAGCCGTATCTTTCTCCCTTGGAGCGGCTGGTGGGTTCAAAGCACGGACCTTTCAATTCGCAGCGGAGTGCTTTAACCACTGCACCACCAGGGCTCCCTTCTCCCTAAGTCCCCTCCTTTTTTTTTTTAAACTGAAGATTGGAAAACCAGTGTCGCCATTCATAAACAATTACAATGAACATAAATCCTATGGCCACAGGACAAAATGAATACATTGTAGCTAGTTACTGACATAAGCAAAGGCTCTGCTCTTTTGAGAGAGAAGAAAACTTTAGCAACTGTCAGCCGGTTAGAGAGAGATACGCCGAGCCTGGGGTTCAGGAGTAAGACTCGGACCAGCTTGATTGCTGGCCCTGCCCTTTCCTGCTGTAGATCTTGGGCGGGTCACCTGACCTTCCTGTGCCTCGGTTTCCTCGTCTGTGCAACAGAAATGATGACATTAGTATCTTTTGTTTGAGAGAGAATAAAATAAAACGTCCTCTCCCTATGAGTTAGTGTTATGCCCTGCCCCATTCTCTAATCTTCCTAAATCAACCCACTGGCCGGACACCCACTGAAGGCTCCTCGAGGCAGCCACCTGGGCTTAGCTGACCGGTCGAATATCAGATGCTGAAGGGGACCATGGAGAAAAGCCGGGCCTGGGTCTCGTTTGGGAAGGGAGCACCTGGAAGGTGCTTTGCCAAAGTCTTCCCTGCCTCTCCCCCAACCCCAGTTACTCCTTCCCCACAGGTCCATCTTTGTTCCAAATCTTTGCAAGAAAAAGACAATCCAATAAGTCTAGGGCCAGCCTGTCCCTTACCCACTGGGCGACCTCAGGCAAGTGACTCCATTTTTCCATGTCCCAGTTTCTTCCTCTGAAAAATACCAGTGACGATCCCACTTTGCAGAGCTGTTAAAAGGCTTAAACTTGATAATATACCTGAAAGCCTAAAGCACGGTCTAAGCAGTCAGTATGTTACTATTATTGCTGTTTCTGTTGTCATCATTATTTCACTAAGGCTCTGGTTTCTCAAGACCAGCGCTGTCCAATGGAAATACAATATGAATCACATATGTAACTTTATAGGTTTTAACACCATATTAAATAAAATAAAAGGAAATAGGTGAAATTAATTTTAATAATGTATTTTATTTAACCCAAATTTATCTGAAATATTGTCATTTTGACATGTAATCAATATAAAAAGTTCTTAATGAGATATTGTATATTCTTTTTTCCTTACTTTGTCTTTGAAATCTGGTGTGTCTTTTACATTTACAGCACATCCCAACTAGGGCCAGCCCCATTTCAAGGGCTCAAAAGTCACTGGTGGCCAGTGGTGACTGTACTGGACCGCTCAAGTCTGAACGGGAGTTTACTGAATGCTGGGTGGGGACTAGAAGTTCCTGGAAGGAAAAGGCCAGGTTTCCAATGGGGGAAGGGAGAGGAACTCAGGCTACTTACGGCCGGCTTGCGTTTTTCCTGCTCTGTAGATCATGGCAACTGAAATGAGGCAAAAGGTGAGATGATTCATTCAACAAGTTGTAGATTGAGCGCCTGCTGTATGCCGGGCGCTGTTCCCGGGCGCTGTTCCAGGTGCTGGAGGCTCAGCAGTGCTCCAATTAGACAAACCCCTGCCTCATGGGGTTCACAGTGGAAAGGGACAGACAAGATACTAAACAACCGTAGAAATAGATAAATAAATGTAATGACAACAGAGAGAAGTGTCACGAAGGGAAAATGCAGGGTTCTCTAAGGACATGGGTGGGGGAGGGGCCCAGTGAGGCACCCACAGGTGGACAAGCTGGGGGCAGAGGAAAATGACCAGAGGTGGTCGAATTTGACATGTATTAGGTTGAACCTTATGAAATTGCCATTTTTATAGGTTAAAAAAATAGAAAATTGGCAAATTCATATGATTCTACCTAATATTTAGGGCGTAGAAGGGATTGGGGTCAAGGGTGGGCTTGCGGAAGGGTCTCTAAACCCTCTAATTGGGCTTTATTTCTGGGCAGGAGGTCCGCTGCTTTCATGAGCTCCTTAAAGGGGCCCGTGACTCCCCTAAAGCATCAAAACTTGACCCTGCGCCTAGAGAGGCCGAGGGAGTTGTTTTGGGTCCCACAGGCAGGGGGAAGGAGGGGCTGAGCGCTGTCCGGAGCTCCTGCCGCTCCGTCTCGCTCCCCCGGCCAGGCGGTGTTGATTGTCCCTTCGCGGCGCCCGGAAGCGACCCTCAGTAAACAAAGCCGTGTGTGGGCGCAGCCCCAGCTGCCCGGGGCGCGCTGTCCAGCTAGAGGAGGGCGGGGGAGGAATGTTGTGAATGAACCCAGGCCCCGCCCCGAAACTCCGCCTGAGGACAGCGCCGCAGGGGTCCTCCCGCTCTAATTGGGCGCCGGCGCTCCGTGATTGACAGAGCCTCTCGCTGCGTTCTCTGACTGGGTGAGCCCAGAAAGACGCAGCATAGGCAGCGAATGAGCAGTCGCATCTTGGGGAGGGCGCTCGTGGTGCTGCCAATGGCGGAGACGGGCCGCGGAGGCCGAGGGTGGGGGCCAATGGGGATGGGCGGCTGGGGCGGGACGACAGCGGAGGATAAAGCGGTGGTCGAGGCAGCTTTATTGTTGTGAAGAGTCTTAAAGGGGCCGCATCACCTGGCCGGCCGGGCGCGGGGCGGGGGTGGCTGCGGCGGGGGTCCCGGGACGGCCGAGCGCCGAGGAAGGACTGGAGGGCGGCCAGAGGGCGGGGGAGCCGGCGGAGCGAAGCAGGTATCGGACAGACCCCTGGCAGCGCCGCCCCGGCCCCGGCCGGCCGATGGACCCCCCCGCGGCCAAGCGGAGCCGGGGCGGCCCCGCAGGACCGGAGGAGCGCGATGCCCGGGCCGGGGCCGCGCGCGGCCGGGGCCGGCCCGAGGCGCTACTGGACCTTAGCGCCAAGCGAGTGGCTGAGAGCTGGGCCTTCGAGCAGGTGACCGAGCGGGGCTGGGAGGGGCTGGGTAGGGGGGGAAACGCACCCAGCCCCTTCCCCGACAGGCCTTCTCTTCCCCCTGCCCAACCGCCAATTTCCGGACCTCTTCCCACAAGAGACACCCCGAGAACCCCTCCAAGATCCTGAACCCCGCCCCAGACACCTCTTCGTCCTCCTCCCATTTCTGTCCTTCAAAGCCTGTGACCCACCTCTGCCCCTTGTCCCCCATCCCTGCCCTCCAGCCCACCTACCGGCCCTTAGGGAACCCTAAGCTCCCCACAGCCCAACTCAGGACACTCCCTTCTTCTCCAGCCCGTGTCATGAGGTCGAACGCCCATGGTCCTCCCACAAGCCTGGGTACCCCTTTTTTTATCTCATTCTTATTCCCCACAAGGACAAGGCCTGCCAACTGAATCCTCATTCCTCTTTCTAATTCCTACAAGCGGTCCCCCAGGAATACCCATCTCTCTAGATCTCAGTGCCGAAGACTTCTGTCCCCCCACTCCTGCCCTCCAGACCTGTCCTACACCCCGGTAGAAGACTCCCCCATCTCTCCAGATCCTGGTCTTGAAGCACCCCTTTCTGCCTTCCATCCTGCTCTCCAGCCTCCAGAACCCACCTGTCACTTGGGGGCCCCCTTCTCCACACCCTCATTCTCAAGCCCTTCCCCTCCTTCCCCCTCCCCCTCGGTACCCCTGGGGCCACCTCTCACCTGAGACTGCCCAGCCCCTCCTGGCTGGCAGCAGGGATTACCCAAGTGCCAGGGATCCCCACGGCCATCCCAGTCCTTTGGGGGGTCAGTGGCAGTGGGTGCAGGTCCTGGTACCTGGACAGGTGCACCTGGAGCCCTGCCTCTGTGGCTTCTGGGGGTGCCACCAGGATGTCCCAGGGCTGGGGCCCTTGAAGTGTCCTTTCCAAGCTTCAGTTTGAGCCCCAAAGGAGCCCAGACCTGGCTCTGTCCAGCTTCAGAGGGTGGTCTTTGCTCCCCTGGCCTGTCCTGAATTAGGAGCTTTGCCAGGACAGTGAGACTGGGCCAAGTGGGGATGCGGCAGGCTCTGATTCATGGCCTGGAAAATCGCTCCTTAGTCATTTGCCGACTGTCCCCTTGGCCTGAGCCCATCACTGACCCCCCCCCCCCACCTCCCCCAGAAACCCAGGAGCCAGGGCTCTGGAGGGTCCCTGCCCCAACACTGTTTGCAAGACACACTGAATAATCCTAAAACCACCTCTGGGGCTCCTGTGTACTTCCCCTCACCAGGCCTGGTGCTAGGAGAGCTCCTGGCCCCAGAAACTCAGCAAATCCTCTACAGCCCTTTGGGAGTTGTTGTTCTTGGTCCCACTTTGTGAGGAAACTGGGGCACAGAGAGGTTGAGAAACTTGCTCAAGGTCACCCAGCCAGTAAGTAGCAAGCCCAGACCGGAACACAGGCTCAACCAGCTCAGTTCATTGCCTGAAGCCCACAGGGGTGGCTAGAACACCCCGCCCCTCTTGGGGGCCCTTCCTAAGGGAGGGGCATGGAGAGGAAGCTGAAGAACAGAGCCGGTCTTGGGAGTTGGAGCTGGCCAGCTCTGAGACCCTGAGCAAGTGAATCGACCCCACCTCCGAGCCTCAGTGGTAAAGTACAGAGTCAGCGAAAAAGGAAGACCTTCAAGGAGATGGACTGACACAGTGGCTGCAACAGTGGGCTCAAGCGTAACAATTGTGAGCATGGTGCAGGACCAGGCAGTGTTTCGTTCTGTGGTGCATAGGGTTGCTATGAGTCGGAACCAGCTTGACGGCACCTAAGAACAACTGAGCCTCAGATTCCCCATCTGTAAAATGGGGTAATGATCAATATTAACTCATTGGGTGGTGGCTGTGAGAATTAAGGGAAATCGCATACATAAAGCATTTAGCATAGTGTAGGCTAAGAAAATGTAGGCTTTGATTATTATTATTATTACTTTTGTCTTCCTTCCTCCTGCCCCCTCAAGGCCTGGGAGGTAGGACTACTTATGCAGGGTCTCTGGGGCCTGGCATCTAGGAGGGAAGTGGCAGAAAGTTTTAGAACACTAACTATGGGCCAGGTGTTATTGTAAGTGCTTTACATATATTATTGTATATCTAATCTTTACAACACTCAGGAGGTGGGTGCTATTAGCATCCCCATTTTACACCTGAGAAAACTGAGGCTCGGAGAGGCAGAGTGACTTGCCCACAGTCATACATACTGCTTGCATTTGGCAGCGCCAGGATGCACATCAGGGGCCCCTGCACCAAGCCCAGCTTTCTAACCCCCTGGCCCCTCCCTCAGGTTGAAGAGAGATTATCCCGGGTGCCGGAGCCAGTCCAGAAGCGCATTGTGTTCTGGTCGTTTCCACGCAGCGAGCGGGAGATATGCATGTACTCATCACTGGGCTACCAGCCCCTGGAGGGCGAGCATGATGCCAGGGTGCCCTTCACCCGCGGGCTGCACCTGCTGCAGAGCGGGGCCGTGGACCGCGTGCTGCAAGTGGGTGAGTGTCCCGTGCCCCCCTGCCCCCGACAGGGAATCCTGGAGAAGAGGAGTTAGAGGGAGGCCTGGGAGGGAAGTTCCAGACCTCAGGCAGTGGACCCAGTGTGGGTTTGGGGTAAGGGCTGGTAGAGATTCAGACTCAGAGGCGATAGGTAGTCCTAGACCCCAGGCAGCAGGGCTTAGACGGGGAGTGGAATGAGAAGTGGTGAGCCTGAAAGGAGGGGAGGGGAAGTCCTAGAACTTAGGCAGTGGGACCCATGTCAGGGTTGAGGGCACAGGTGAGGGCCACTATATGCATTGGGGGTAGAGGTTGTGAGACAGGGTGATGGAAGGTCCTAGACCTTAGGCTTCAGGCCCAGACAGGGTTGGGTGCAGGATTATGAGCTAAAGGTGAAAACTGGTCCTAGACCTCAGACAGCTTAGTTGGGGAATGGAGGAAGAGGTGGTGAGCCGGGTGGGGGTGCGGGGAGGGTCCCAGGCAGCAGAGTTCAAGTAGGGGCTAGAGGAGTGATTGTAAACCAGAAGAGAGAGTTTCCAGACCTCAGGCAGCGAGGCCCAGTGATACTCTGGGGTAGAGGTTTACAGCCAGAAACAAGAAACAATCCTAGACCTCAGGCAGCAGGACCCACGTGGGAATTGGGGGCTGAGATTTAGAGCCAGAGGTCAGAGGAGGTCTTAGACCTCAGGCAGAGAGACTCAGGTAGAGATCTTAGACCTAAGGCACTGGGGCTTAGGTGGGAGTTGAGGGTAGACGTTCAGGCTCAGCTGTGAGGGGTAGTCTTAGACCTTAGGCAGCAGAGTGGTCTTAAACTTTAGGCAGTGAGGTCCAGAGAAGGGTAGGGGGCAGAGGTTAATGTTACAGGTGGAAAATGATCCTAGACCTCAGACAGCCCAGGTGGGGGCTGGGGACAAGGTTATGGGCCAGAAGCAAAGGGAAGGGGTGCAGAGTCTAGGTTGGGGGAGGTTGTGAGGAGGAAGGGAGGAACAACCTCTGACCCCAGGCAGAGGGCTCAGGAAAGGCCAGTAGAGGTTGTCCTAGACCTCAGATGGTGGCAGGGGCTCAGTGAAGATGACCCCCCGCCCTGGGTCCTGTCAACCTCTGGCCCCCACAGCTGGCCAGTCTCAGCTGCCTCCAGCCGGTATGAGGAAGCTGTCTCCCTGCATGACGCAGCCAGGACTGGCTGGGGCCTGAGCAGCCCAACCAGTCGGGTGAGCCTGGCATCTGGCTCCCCAGGGGCCAGGCAGGGAGGGGTAGGGGGTGATGGGGTGACCTGCGCCCCTGGCCTGCCGCATCAGCCCATTGCCCCGAAGTGTCACAGCTTTGGCACCTTCTCAGGGAACTCCGGAGCTCCTGGAGCGCTGGCTGTGTCCAAGTCTGAGAAAACCATTTTTGATATCATTGCTATAATAGTATTCATAATAGATTAACAGCAAGCATTTCTTGAGGAAGCGCTGTGTGTCAACAGTGTTCTAAGCACTTTTCACGTATTAACTCATTTAGTCCTCACAATGACCCAATAAGGAGGATGTTACTATGATTCCAATTGACAGATGAGAAAACTGAGGCTCAGAGAAGTCAGGGGACTTGCCCTGGGTCACTCAGCTGGGTTTGCACCTGGGTCTTGGACAAGACCTGCCCGTCCCTGGGGGGACATGGCCCTGACCATCTGGTTCTGGTCTTAGGGTTCCACCTGAGCGGGAATGTGCGGGAGCCGGGAGGCCCTGGCGAGCCCGAGCGTCTCTACCACATCTCCATCAGCTTTGACCGCTGCAAGATCACGTCCGTGAGCTGCGGCTGTGACAACCGCGACCTCTTCTACTGCGCCCATGTGGTGGCCCTGTCACTGTACCGCATTCGGCACGCCCGCCAGGTGGAGCTGCGGCTGCCCATCTCCGAGACGCTGTCCCAGATGAACCGGGACCAACTGCAGAAGTTCGTGCAGTACCTCATCAGCGCCCACCACACTGAGGTGCTGCCCACTGCCCAGCGCTTAGCCGATGAGATCCTCCTGCTGGGCTCCGAGATCAACCTGGTGCATGGTAAGGGCGCCAGGGGTCGGATGGGGCAGTGAGGGGGCAGCTCACAGCCAGCTCACCTGCCGTGGACCAGGTGTCATCCCAGGATCCTCATAAGTCCTTGATACGTGGTGGGGGCAGAGGCACCATTTCCAAGGTCCACACCTAGTATATGGCAGATCCTGGATTCCTTCTCGCTCTGGGGCAGGGGAGTGGTCAAAAATCAGCCTATGGGCAGAGAGCAGGGCAGGAGGGAGAGCCTGAGTTGGGGGAACTCAGGGTGGGGGTGTCTCGGGATCACAGGGACAGGCTTGGGTGTGGATGGGTGGTGGGGCATGAAGAACACGTGTGGACATTAGTATCTGTCAGGGGTAGGGTATGAGTAAGAAGATATACCAGAAGGTGTTGGGACATCTGGGTGGGTTAGGGGGCTACAAGGGCCGTGTTGCCTAGCTATATGGTTGGAGGATGGGGTCGAATGGGGGATGGGTAGATTTATGAGTGGTGGATGGAGGAATGGATGTATAATTGAGGGTGGGGATGGATGGGTGCAGAAAGAATTGATGATGGGTGTTGGGGTGAACTGATGGTATGGATAAACAATGGAGTGAGTGGATGGGTGAGTAGGATGGTAGATGAATGGGGAGTTGGTGGTAATTAGAGGTGGGGATGGGTGAGTGGTTGGGGAGGGCTTTGATGATTGGGGAATTGAGGTAGACTATGGTGGTGGACAGATGGGGTTCATGGAAGAATGGAATGGAAGGACCAAAGGGTTCACGGATTTGGGGGTGAGTTGATGGGTGCATGGAAGGTTCGTACGGGAGGACTGACATGGCAGATGGATAGAGTGGGTGGGTGTTTTGTTTAAGATGGATGGATGGACTAAATGGAGTGGTAGATGTTTGGAGAAGTGCATATGAATGGATGGTTTGATGGGGGAAGGATAGATGGAGAGTTGTGGTTATTTGGGTGGACAGATAGTATGGCTACAAGGGTCAGTGGATGGATGGGTGGGTGGGTATTTTGAATACAGGCAGTCCCTGGCTTACAAAGGTCCGACATACATACAGCCCATAGTTACGAACCAACCCCCGTAAAGCCTATTAAAAATTCGAGGTATATACAATGGTTCATAATAACAAATAGGCACTACTTTGTGACAGTGCATCAAAACATTATTATTATTGTTACTGTATTACTATGTTAAAGATGTTATAGTGTATCTGTAAGTGTTTATATAATGTTTTTTATGTAGAAAGTTATATTATATACTAAGACAAGTATTTGACTAACTTGACGTTAGATATGAACCATACCTAACTGTTCTTACTCATGTACAAATTTGACTTAAAGACAGATTTAGGAATGGAACTCGTTCATAATCTGGGGACTGCCTGTAGCTGGTTTGGATGGATTGGAAAGGCAAATGGGGAGGGTGGTTGGATGGATAAATGGAATGGGTATATAGATGGGTAGATAGGTGGGAGTTATGGGTAGAGTGGATGATAGATTAATGGGGGGTAGATAGGTATGCTGAGGGGTATGGATGTGTGGATAAACTGATACAGGAAAAATGGATGGATAGATGCACAGCATGACACAGGTGGACAGATGGGTGAGTGGTTTGGATAGATGGGCGAGTGGTTTGGATAGATGGGCTGATGGTTTTTCAGGCAGAATGGAGAGATGATGGATGAGTGGGTGGTGTTTCTGATCAAATGGACAAATGGATGGTGTTATAGATTGAATTATGTCCCCCAAAAATATGTGTTGTAAATCCTAACCTCCATGCCTGTGGTTATAATTCCATTTGGGAATGGGTTGCCTTTGTTGTGTTAATGAGGCAGGATTAGTGTAGGGTGTATCTTGAGTCAATCTCTTTCGAGATATAAAAAGAGATCAAACAAGAGTGCAGAGAGAGAGATGGGGTAAGATAGATGCCAAGACACATGGAGATCTCCAAGGAACCAGGAAGCAAAAGCTGAAGAAACAAGGACCTTCCTCTGTAGCCAACAGAAAGAGAAAGTCATCCCCTAGAGCCGGCACTCTGAATTTGGACTTCTAGCCTCCTAAACTAAGAGAAAATAAATTTGTTTGTTAAAGCCATCCACCTGTGGTATTTCTGTTACAGCAGCACTAGATAACTAAGACAGATGGGTAGATGAGTAAGTGAATGGATGAGTAAATGGATGAATGTGTGGATGGATAGATGAGTAAATGGATGAGTAGATGGGGTGGTATTTCAGGTGAGATGGATGAGTAGATGGATGAGTAAATGTATGGATGGGTGGGGATGGTGTTTTCGGTGGGATGGACAGATGGACAGATGGATGGGCAGATGATGTTTAAGGTGAGATGGATGAGTGGATAGATGAGTAAATAGATGTATGGGTGGGTGGGTTGGTGTTTTGGGTGGGACAGATGGATGGATGGATGGCTAAATGGATTGATGGGCAAGTGGTGTTTCAGGTGAGACGGATGAATGACGGATGGATGGATGGATGGATGAGTGGATGGATGCGTGGATGATGTTTAATGTGAGATGGATGAGTAGATGGATGAATAAACGGATGGATGGGTGGGGGTGGTGTATTGAGTGGGACAAATGGATGGATGGATGGATGGGCAGGTTGTGTTTCAAGTGAGATGGATAAAGGATGGATGGATGGGCAAGTGATGTTTAAGGTGAGATGGACTGATGGATGGATAAGTAAATGGATGAGTGGGTAGGTGGGGTGGTGTTTTGGGTGGGATGGATGATGGATGGAAATCTGTGGTATGTTGGGTAATTTGGAGGAATGGAGAGATGGCAGGGGCAGGCACCCTCTCTCCCTACACTACTCCCAGCCTCAGCTTTCCCTTCCTCCCCGCAGGCGCCCCAGACCCCACAGCGGGTGCGGGCATCGAGGACGCCAACTGCTGGCACCTGGATGAGGAGCAGATCCAGGAGCAGGTGAAGCAGCTGCTGTCCAATGGCGGCTACTATGGCGCCAGCCAGCAGCTGCGCTCCATGTTCAGCAAGGTGCTGCGTGGGCTCGGGGGGCACGGAGGCTCAGGAGATCCTGGTGCTGACACCCCACCCCCTCCTCACCTCCACATCCCCGCACAGGTGCGGGAAATGCTGCGAATGCAGGACTCCAACGGGGCGCGCATGCTGATCCTCATGACGGAGCAGTTCCTACAGGACCCACGCCTGGCGCTGTGGCGGCAACAAGGTGCAGGCATGACTGACAAGTGCCGGCAGCTGTGGGACGAGCTGGGTAAGACCCAGCCCGGAGCGCGGCAGATGTCAAGCTTCAGCCTGAGATTAGGGCCTGGCCCAGGAATCCTTCCTCTACTCATTTGACAAGCATTTATTGAGCAACTACTATGTGCCAGGCACTATACTGGGCACTGGGGACCCAGCAGAGAACAAGAGACAAAATCCCTGCCCTCATGGAGCTGATACCTCATGGGGAGGACAGACGATAAAATTCAATAAACACGCTATACCAGGGGTCAGCACGCTTCTTCTGAGGGGCTTAAAACAACAGAAGTGTATGTTGTCACAGTTCTAGAGGCCAGAAGTCCGAAGCCAAGGTGTCGGCAGGGCCACGCCCCCTCCAAAGGCTCTAGGGGAGGATACTTCCTTGCCTCTTGTAGCTTCTGGTGGCTGCCAGCAATCCTTGGCTTGCAGACGCATCGCTCCAATCTCTGCCTCCGTCATCACCTGGCCTTCTCTGCCGTGTCTCTGTACCTGTCTCTGGGTCCAAATTTTCATCTTCTTTCTAGTCATTGGATTAGTGCCCATCATAATCCAGTAGGACCTTGCCTTAGTCTCCTAGGGCTGCCATAACTAAATACCACAGAATAAGTGTCTTTGAAGAGAAGAGATGTATTGTCTTACAATTCTGGAGGCTAGAAGCCCAAACCTGGGGATTAACTGTGTCGATTCCCTCGGAGGGTTCTAAGAGAAGAACTGTTCCATGCCTCTCTCCTAACTTCTAGTGACCGCCAGCAATCTTTGGTGTTCCTTTACTGCTTATAGATGCATCTATCTCTGTTGTCACATGGCGTCCTGTCTTCCTTCTGTGACTCTATCTCCTTGGCTTTCTTCTTTTATAAAACACTAGTCATATAGGATTAAGGAGTCCTGGTGGCACAGTGGCTAAGCGCACCGCCTCTAACCAGAAGACAGGCGGTTCAAACCTACATCAGGAGAAGGATGTAGCAGTCTGCTTCCATAAAGATTTACAGCCTTGGAAACCCTATGGGACAGTTCTACTCTGTCCTATAGGGTCACTGAGTCGGAATTGACTCGACGGGGATCCACCCTACTCGGTATGACCTCATTAACTTCACTGATAATGTCTTCAAAGGAAGACCCTTCCTCCCCAAACAAGGTCACGTGCACAGGTACAGGGGTTAGAACTTGAACACATCTTTTTGGAGGACACAATCTGATCGATAGCAGACCTCATCTTAACTTGATAACATCTGCAAAGACCCTATTTCCAAGTAAGGTCACATTCACAGATTCCAGATGGACATGAATTTTGGGGGCAGTGGGGGGACACTATTCAACCAAGGGCAGCCGGATAGTCAATATTTTCAGCTTGGCAGGCCACCCATTCTCCGTCATAACTAGTCAACTCTGCCATTGTAGTGGGAAAGCAGTCATAATTGTGTTCGTGTGGCTACATTCCAATAAAACTTTATTTATGGGCATTTTAATTTATTTATTTGAATTTCACACCATTTTCACAAGCCACAAAATCTTCTTTTAATTTTTTTTTTTTAACCGCTTAAAAATGGTTGTCCAGTGGGCATGCAGACACGTTCTGCAGACATGTTAGATAGAAGTGCTGTAGGAAAAGAACATGGAGAGGGACCGGCACCCTAGTTTGAATCCTGATTTCCAACTTACAAGCCACGTGACCTTGAACAAATTATTTTCCCTCTCTGTGCCTCAGGTATCTGACCTGTAAGCAGGGCTTCAACCAGTTCATTCCTGTTTAAACTCCCGCTGAGAATTTGCATTTCCACCCCAGTTATACTGAATCCGAATCCACATTTTCAACAAGATCCCCAGGTAATTCTTATGAACACATAAGAATGGGGACGGAAAGAACCGGTTCGAAGCCCTGCCTGTAAGGTGAAGATATCATTAGTGCCAACCTCAGAGAGTGGAGGTAAGGATTGAGTGGAGCAGGGCCTGGCACACAGTGAGCGCTCAATAAGTGTTTGCTGCCCTCCCCCCTCAGGGGCCCTGTGGGTCTGTGTCGTCCTGAGCCCCCACTGCAAGCCTGAGGAGCGGGCCAGCTGGCTGCAGCTGCTGTGCAAGTGGGACAAGCTGGAGGTGTGCCCCCTGGAAGAGGGCAACTATGCCTTTGATGGCCCCAGCCTGCAACCCACTGCGGCCCCCAGCTCAGGTAGGAGAGGGGGCCCTGTCCCAGGAGAGAAGGCGGTCTGGTATAGGGCAAAGGCGGACCCAACCAGAGGAGAGTTCATGCCAAGGGCAGGGGGTGGTGGGCAGCTCTGGGGGATGTTGAAGTGTTGTGGTGGAGACACCTGGGATCCTGGCTGGTGTCCTGGTTCAGCCTTCTGTTACCAGCTATGGAGACAGACAGAGCGGAGGAGGGAAAAAATACAGTGAAACAGAAGAGGAGAGAGAGAGGTGGAGATGGATGGAGAGAAGGATAGAGGGAGAGACAGAGAAGAAGAAAGAGATGGAGGGGGGAAGCGAAATGGAGAGTGAGACAGGACAGACAGATTGACAGATGGTTACTCAACTTCAGTCTCCATCCATCTGATGGGGCTATCATAGTCTCCCCCACTCCCACCCACATATACCCCTTCAAAGGGCTGCTGTGAGGATCTGGGGAGATGACACACCCCATCGTTCCACACAGGGCCCAGCCCAAAGTCCGCGCCTGGTGGGGGGAGATGGCCACATCCGCCGCCTGAGCCCCCTCACCAGGCCGCCTTGGGCCCCTGTCCCCCAGGCCCAGAGGTGGAAGTGGCAGGTTCCCGCTACACAGTGTTCAGCCGGGCCCTGCAGGCTGGGGAGCTGCACTGGAATGATGCCCACCTGCAGAGGATCCTGGCCAGCGACTCCTATGGCCCCAGCCTCAAAGGCAATGTGGGAGGCGACAAGCTAACCTTCGACTCCCAGGGCCGCCCGCTCTGGCTGGGAGAGCCTTTCCCCACCGCCTGCGCCCGCGTGGACACCCTACGCGCCCACGGATATCCCCGCCAGGCCCTGCGGCTGGCGGGCGCCATGGTCAACACACTGCGGCTGCAGCGGCGGCATCAGCTTGAGAGCTACAAACAGCAGAAAAAAGGTGGGCACCAATGTCAGCACCACATCCCAGGGGCTGTGGACACAAAGGCTGGCTGGTGGGCACAGGGACACCCCAGAGGGTCCATGGGGGCCCACCGGGAAAATAAAACCACTCCAGGTATCTCGAGCAGAAAGGAATTTCACACAGGGAATTAGGGCTTAAAAAACCGTTGAAGGGCTACAGGATTTGAAGTCATGGCAAGCCACCAACGGTGAGCACAAGGGCCTGTAGCCCCCAAAGGGGCAGTTCCCAAGAGGACACCAGAACCTGCTGGCAAAACCCTCCGCCCTACATGGAGCCCCACACCTGCTCACGGCTGCTGTGGGAGAATGGTGGCCTCTCCTTCTGTCCCACATCCACATCTCACACGCAGGAGTCTGGGACATGCCTCTCGGGGGTGTAGGCCCAGTGTGGCCAGATCTTCTGATTTTTCATGTGAGGCCAGACACCTGGATTAATGGATGCAGAATTTCCTGGCTTTTAAACACGAGCAACAAATTCAAATTTAGGTTTAAAAAAAAAAATGTATACGGGCAAAAAAAAAGAACCTGTCTGTGGGTTGGATATGGGGGAGGGGTAACCAGGTGAGTTCCGTGGGTAATGGGGTGGATGGATCAGGTGTCAGAAAACTGAACGGAAGGATAATGGGGGAAACACAGGGAGCAGAGTCCCTGCTGGCCTCAGGGAAAGCCTCCCAGAGGAGGGGATAGCTAGGTGGAGATCTTTAGGATGTCAAGTTACCCAGCAGAAAGGGGAGGGGAGAAGAGTGCTCCAGGTAGAAGGAACAGCTCAGGCAGAAGCCCAGAGGCAGATTGGAGGAGACTGGAAGGCGGTGAGGCCGTGCCACTGTATTGGTTCCGCGGGCCCTCAGAGCTGTTTGGGCTTTATCTTGTCAGAGGTGGGGAGGGACACATCCATTGTCCCTGTGTCCTGCCAGACGTAGGCCTGGCTGTGCGACGCGAGGTGAGCGCTATTTATTGTAGAGATCAGGGGTGAAGAAGATGGCCGCTGGGTGGGCAGGTGGTGGAGTCTGGGGGGCTGGGGGACCCGAGGATCAGGAAGAGGCAGGCTGCCCTGGGCGAGCTAGCAGTGGGTGAGCACTGAACCCCTCTCCCGCCAGCAGAGCTGCTCCAGAAAGGCTCCACCTGCATCACCAACACAGAAGGATGGGTGGGCCACCCCCTGGACCCCATTGGCTGCCTCTGCAGGGCACTCCTGGAGGCCTGTCGCCTAGAGGAAGAAACTCTATCTCTTTACCCAGGTATCCACATTGGGGACCCCTGGAGGAGGTGGGGCGATCCCACACCCTTGGCTACGTCCCCTAGCCAGTGCCAGGTGCCGATAGACTTAGCTTCTGAAAGTGAGGCCACCAATAGGTCTTTCTGCTGCTAGCCGAAGGGCCCCGCCCCCTGGTGCGTACTGGGAGCCAATATGCTTCCCAGCTGGGCCTCCCGTAAGCCCCGCCCCCAGTCTACCTGCTTGGGTGGGCCCCGGAGAAGGGGGACCCCTCGCAGCCTGCGCCCGTTTCCCATAGACGAAGGCTCTGAGAAGCGAAAGGTGGCCTATCAGCACGTGCCTGTGCCCGGGAGCCCCGGCGAGTCCTACTTTGCGATGGCGCTGGAGGTGGCGCTGCTAGGCCTGGGGCAGCAGCGGGCCCTGCCTGAGGGCCTGTACGCCCAGGACAAGGTGGTGCGCAACGAGGAGCAGCTGCTGGCCCTACTGGAGGAGGTGGAGCTGGACGAGCGGCTGGTGCAGGTGCTGCGCAAGCAGGCGGGGCTGCTGCTGGAGGGTGAGGCCCTGCCCCTAGCCCCACCTCCTGGTCCTTCTTGTTGTTGTTAGATGCCCTGGAGTTGGTTCCGACCCATAGCGACCCTATGTACAGCAGAACGAAACACTGCCCGGTCCTGTGCCATCCTCACTATCATTGCTATGTTTGAGGCCATTGTTGCAGCCACTGTGTCAGTCCATCTCTTTGAGGATCTTCCTTTCTTTCTCTGACGCTCTACTTTACCAAGCATGATGTCCTCCTCCAGAGACTGGTCCCTCCTGATAACATGTCCAAAGAGCATGAGACCAAGTCTCGCCATCCTCGCTTCTAAGGAGCATTCTAGCTGTACTTCTTCCAAGACAGATTTCTTCGTTTCTTCTGGCAGTCCATGGTATATTCAGTATTCTTCGCCAACACCATAATTCAAAGACATCAATTCCTCTTCAGTCTTCCTTATTCACTGTCCCTCTTTTGCATGCATCTGAGTAATTGAAAATACCATGGCTTGGGTCAGGCATACCTTAGTCCTCAATGTGATATCTTTGCTTTTTAACACTTTAAAGAGGACTTTTGCAGCAGATTTGCCCAATGCAATATGTCATTTGATTTCTTGACTGCTGCTTTCATAGGCATTGGTTGTGGATCCAAGTAAAATGAAATCGTTGACAACTTCAATATTTTCTCCATTTATGATGATGTTGCTTACTGGTCCAGTTGTGAGGATTTTTGTTTCCTTTATGTTGAAGTGTAATCTATACTGAGGGCCATAGTCTTTGATCTTCATCAGTAAGTAGTTCAAGTCCTCTTCATTTTCAGCAAGCAAGGTTTGTCATCTGCATATTGCTTGTTAATGAGTACCTTGGCTCCTCCTAAAAGGTGAAATCTAGCCTTTGGTCCCGCCCCCTAGCATGTGCTGGCAGGCAAGAAGCCTAACTGCTGTCAGCAATAAGGCTCCGCTCACTTCCCACCTTGGAGTCAATAAGCCAAGTCGCTGGTGCTGGAAAGTGAGGCCACCTCCCCCCATCCACAACCTAGGCCCTGGCCCCTCTTCCTGGCTCCACCCATGGTCCTGCCTCCGTGCTGTGAGGCCCCGCCCCTACCACGCTCCGGAGCCTGCTTGGCGGTGTCGCCTCCTGGTTCTTCTCTATGCAAATGGCTGGGGCTGGCCTTGGGCCTATGCCCCGCCCTGGGCACAGGTGCGGTCCCACCTCCACTTTCTGGCCTCACCCTGCCTCTGAGTACTGCCTCCTACCCAGGGGTGTGTCCACCTTTTGTCCTCAGATCTTCCAGCACTTGCTTCAGCCCTGAGTCCCCACCCCAGGGATTGCTCTAGCCCCAGCCACCCCCTCCAGGGGTCCGCCCATCCACCATTCAGAGCCCAGGGTCTGGGGAGATCTGGGGAAGGGCAGAGGCGAGCCCACACCTGGGGGCTGAGCTCAGGCTGCCCCTGCAGGGGGTCCGTTCAGCGGCTTCGGAGAGGTGCTGTTCCGGGAGAGCGTGCCCATGCACACCTGTGCCCGCTACCTGTTCACCGCGCTGCTGCCCCACGATCCCGACCTGGCCTACCGCCTGGCGCTCCGAGCCATGAGGTGAGGACAGATGGCTGGGGACATGGACATGGGGTGGGGAGGGCAGGAGGCAGGTGGGAGGCAGTTCAGGGGCCCCACCCTCCCAGCTGAACTCACAGCCTGATTCATTTAGTCTCCCTTACGCTGGCATTCGAGGCTGCCGCGTGCTTTTTATTAATAAATACAGACATGTAATATTGTTTTGAATTTGAGAAATATCCACATGGTACAAAATGCAAAAGGTTACAGAAAGGCAAGCCCTTTTCTGCTCACGCTTGTCTCAAGCTACCAAGTTCTCTCTGGAAGCAGGCATACCCATGAACATTTATGCCGTTTCCAAAAGGCGCTGCCATGAATAACCTTGTTACCATTTCTCACGGGCACCAGCAGATCATAGAGACAGAATTTTAAAGGTCCCCTCTCTGTAGAAAACCATGCCCAACAAATAACATGTCATCTGTCCCCCATCCTCTGATCCCATTCTCCAGAGATACCAACTGACAACTTGGGGTGTGTCTTTCCAGAGTATTTGGGAAGAATAATCCATAAGAGCTATGATTTAGAAAACCCTCTTTTATGTACAAGACTTGTTTCTAAGCCAGAGGTTGGCAGACTACAGCCCACAGGCCATATCTGGTCTGTCTCCTGTTTTGTACAACCCATGAAACAAGAATGGTTTTTACAGTTTTTTTTTAATTTACTTTATTAGTTCTTGTTATTGTTGAGAATATACACAGCAGAACATACACCAATCAACAATTTCTACCTTTACAATTCAGTGACATTGATCGCATCCTTCAAGTTGTGCAACCATTTCTCACCCTCCTTTTCCGAATTGTTTCTCCCCCATTAATATAAACTCACTGCCCTCTAAGCTTCCTATTTAATCTTTCGAGTTGCTGTTTTCAGTCTTACCCTATATAGATAGTTCTTAAAAGAGCACAATGTGTTTTTACATTTTCTAATGATTGGGGGGAAAATCAAAAGACTATTTTGTGATACATGAGAATTATATGAAATTCAAATTTCAGTGTCCGGAAATAAAGTTTTATTAGAACACAGCTACACCCATTCATTTACATATTGTCTATGACTGTTTTTAAGGTACAACGGCAGACTTGAGTCCTTGGCAACAGAGACCAAATGGCCGGCTGTCTTAGATTATCTAGTGCTGCTCTAACAGAAATACCGCAAGTGGGTGGCTTTGACAAACAGATATTTATTTTCTTACAGTTTAGAAGGCTAGAAGTCCGAATTCAGGGTGCCAGCTCTAGGGGAAGGCTTTCTCTCTCTGCTCAGAGGAAAGTCCTTGTCTCTCTGAGCTTCTACTCCTGGGAAAGCTTCATGTGACTTGGCCTCTCTCTTCCCCCATCTCTGCTTCTCTCGATTGCTTGTTTAATCTCTTTTATATCTCAAAAGAGATTGACTCAAGATACACCCTACACTAATCCTGCCTTATTAGCATAACAGAGACAACCCATTCTCAAATGGGATTATAACCACAGGCACAGAGTTTAGGATTTACAACACGTATTTTTGGGGGACACAGTTCAATCCATAACACCAGCAAAGCTGAAAATATTGGCTTTAAAGGATGCCAACTGCTGGCCTAAGTCCATAATGTATGTTGCCCAATGTAATCCTCAAAACAGCCTCGCGAAGTAAATATTTTTACTCCTATTTTGCACATGAAAAAAGTGACCTGTTGTGTCTCCACTGTCCAAGGTCACACAGCAAGGAATTGTAGCTACTATTTAAACCAGAGTTGTCTGACTCCTACCCCACGCTTTGAGTCATACCTAGCTATTTTGAACACCTTCCTGAATACAAAACTAAAAAAAAAAAAACCTGTTGCCTTCAATTCCGATTCATGGAAAGCTCATGTGTGTCAGAGTAGAACTGTAGTCCATAGGATTTTCAATGGCTAGTTTTTTGGAAGGAGATCGTCAGGCCTTTCTTCCGAGGCGTCCTTGGGTGGACTCGAACCGCCAATCTTCTGGTTAGTAGCTAAGCGTGTTAATCGTTTGCACCACTCAGGGAACACATATGTAAATTTCAGCGAGCCACTTAACAAAATTGGCTTGGATAGTGAGTCATCCCACAAATATTGATTGTTCACCTACTGCATATCAGGCATTGTTCTGGCTGCTGCAGACAGACACAGCAGTAAACAAAGTAGTCAAAAATCCCTGCCCTCCTGGAGCTGATGTTCTAGTGAAGGCGAGACAGCCAGCTAATAAAGAAATAGGCAAAATACATTGTATGTCGGATGGTGCTCAGTTGGATAGGGAAAACAGAATAAGTAAGGGGGAGAGCGACTGGCAGTTTTACATGTGGGGGTGTCAGGGAAGAGCTCGATGAAAAAATATTTGAGCAAAGACCTGAAGGCGGTGAGGGAGGAGCCACGAGAAGATCTGGCCAGAGGCCTATGCAAAGGCCCTGTGGTGGGACTGCCTAGTGTGTTTGAAGGCCATCAAGGGGAAGAGTGTGGCTGGAGTGGAATGAATGAGGGAGAATGGGGGGGTCACAGAGGGGGTAATGGGGGGCCACATCAGGACACAAATAATTGCTTCACCTCTTCCTCAGCCATGTTGACCACGGTGCATAAGTGGAGCATGGTTTTTTGAACCAACTCCTGAGTGATGGGCATCTCCAGGACTTCTACATCCCCTCTTATAAACAACACTGCAGTGAACATCCTTGTGCACACATCCTCCATCTTCTGGGTGCCAGGGCTCTGCTGGCGACAGAGGGGCAGCTTGGGCTGGGGCAGGAGGCCTGCCTCCCCCGGGGGGACAGAGACGGCACCCTGCCTCACCACAGGCTTGCTTTGCCCCTCACCCCAGGCTGCCTGTACTGGAGTCAACTTTTCCAGCTGGAGAACCTCACCCCAACCCACTGGAGTCCATCATGAGCAACCGCTTCCCCCGCTGGTTCATCCTGGGCCACCTGGAGACCCGCCAGTGTGAGCTGGCGTCTGCCATGCTGACGGCCGCCAAGGGTGAGAACAGCGGCTGCCCCGTCCCACCCTCTTGCCCCTTCCCACCTCCTTTATCCTTTGACCAAACCCTTCAATCTTCATTCAGCACCTTCTATGTACTGGGCACTGTCCTAGGTGCTGAGACAAAGCAGGGACCAAAACAGCCCCAAATCCCTGCCCTGCGTGGTTTCCAGCTAGTGGGAGGAGACAGGCAGTAAGCAAGGTAAAAACCCAAAACCAAACCCCTTGCCGTTGAGTCAATTCTGATTCATAGCAACCCTATAGGACAGAGTAGAACTGCCCATAGGGTCTCCAAGGCTGTATCTTTCTCCCGCAGAGCGGCTGGTGGGTTCGAGCCCAGAGAGTTCAACAGTATGTAAACAGTACGTAAAAGGAAGAGAGATATTCGAATAAAGACCTCAAGGGGGAGGATCCATATGGAGACCTGGGGAAGGGCACTTCAGGCAGAGGGAACAGCTGGTGCAAAGGCCCTGAGGCTAGACCATGTCTGGTGTGTTTGAGGGACAGCTAGGAGGCATTATGACTGGAGCAGAATGGGGAAGTATAGGATCAGGGCCAGTGGTAATAACAGTAATAAAAGCTAACATTTATGTATCTCTTACCATGTTAAGTTCTTTACTAGTATGGACTTACCGCAATCCTTTGAGGCAGGTACTAACCCATTGCCAAGGAGTCAATTCAGACTCATAGTGACCCTATAAGACAGAGTAGAACTGCCCGATAGGGTTTCTAAGGCTGTAATCTTTACAGAAGCAGACTGCCACATCTTTCTCCCAAAGAGTGGCTGGTGGGTTTGAACCACCGACCTTTCGGTTAGCAGCTGAGTGCTTAACCACTGTGCCACCAGGGCTCCCCATTATTACTCACGTTACAGATATGGCAGCTGAGGCACAGAGAGGTAAAGTGACTTGTCCAGAGTCACACGGCTAGTAAGTGCCAGGATAGGGCTGACGCCCTTGACAGTTAGGGGTCCAGCAAGTCCCTGAGTGGCTCCCTCACACTGAGCAGAGCAGCCCAGCAGGTACAGACGAAAGAATGGGCAGACAGGGGAGGCCATGGGTCCAAACCATCACAGAGCCATTGCCTGGTGCATCTCCCTCCACGCTCACGCACGGGCACCTGGGCTGAGACACCTATGTGAGCAGGTCAGGTGGTGGCAGGGCTGGCGCTGAGGTGTGTCCAAAATGCTTCTGTCCTTCCCCCTGCCCAGGAGACCCCAAGTGGCTGCACGCAGTGCTGGGTTCCGTCCAGCAGAACATCCACTCACCGGCCCTGCTCTTCAAGCTGGCACAGGACGCCTGCAAGACGGCTGCCCCGGCCAGTGTGCCCCCGGACACCACACTGCTGGGCATTGCACTGGAGCTGGGCCTGCAGGTGAGAGCCGCCAGGTGGGGGGGGGGGTAGGAAAGGTGCTGTCTGGGGGCAGGGCCTGTAAGGGTCAGCGGAGTGAGGGAATGGGGGTCATGGGTGGAGGGGGCCCATGAGTGAGGGACTCAGTGGCAGGTCCTGAAGGTGAGGCTCTCCCTCTGGGGGTGAGGTCTGTGGCTGAGGACCACCAGGGGGACCCTGGAGAGGCAGGGCCTACAGATGAGTAGCTGGGCCTCCTGAGAGGGCAGAGTGGAGTGGGTAGGCCTTGGGGGTGGGGCCTGGGGTGCCTGTGGCCAAGGAACACGAGTGGGTGGCATTGAAACTAAAGGGGGGGTGGAGGCAGAGCCCACCAACAGACACTTTCTTGGGGGTGAGGAATGCACCAGTGTGGGTGGGGCTGGAGGGGAGGGTCAGAGGTGGGTCCTGAGAGTGAGGAGCCACCTCTGGGGGTGGGGTCTGCAGTCAAGGGCCATAGCCATGGGCCTGTGGGTGAGTGGCTGGGGCCATGCCAGGGGCCTGCAGGGCCAAGTCAGGGCCAGCATGGTTGCAGCCAGCAGGTGAGGAGTTGACTCAGAAGGGCCCAGAAGGGGCCGGATAGGCAAGCAAAGGTCCTGAGGGGGCATGGCCTGAGGGGACAGGTATGGGGCCTGTGAGGGCAGGGCCAAAGAAGGTGGCAGAAGTAAGATAAAATAAGGAACAGCTTGGGACAGGCCTGCACTGGACCTTCCCAGGTAGAACAGCAAGCATGGGGCCTGTGGAGGGGTGGGATTGGCTTGAGACAGCCTCCTTTGGAGGTAGAGCCACTGTGGGGGTTGTGGGGGGACAAGGATGGCGCCTCAGAGGAGACAGGCTAGTAAGGAGCTTGCCAAAGGCGGGGTCCACTCTACAGGACCTGGGGATGGGGCCTCAGGGGAGAGGCAAGCAAGAAGTGTGCTTATTGGAGGGTGGGGCCTGAAGGAGGTGGTGCCGGTAGGGCAGGTGCTTTGTTTGGGCTTCGGGGCATATCTAATGAGACGAAGCATTAAACTTTCCAGAGAGAAGGGCCAGATTGGTTTGTTGACCAGGGTAGGATCCATGGGGTCTCAAAATAATGCCAACAATAGCAATAATGGTAATTGCTGACATCAAGTGAGCACTTTCAAGCAGCCGCGCAAAGAGCTTCACTACATAGTTTCATTTTGTTCTCACAACAACCCTATGAGGTATACTATTTTCATCCCCATTTGACAGAGGAGGAAACTGAGGCCCAGAGAGGGGAAGTCATTACCCTAGGTTGTATGGCTCACTGGAGCAGCCTTTCACTTCCAGGCCTCCCCCTTCAATTGGCCAACCCAAGACTTTGAGTGATCCTCTTCTCTCCCCACCCGCACCCTACAGGTGATGCGGATGACCCTAAACACCATGACCTGGCGTCGCAGGGAGATGGTGCGCTGGCTGGTCACCTGTGCCACAGAGATAGGTGAGACCTTCTGAGTATGCTGGGGCTGCCTTAACAAAGTACCACAAACTAGGTGGCTTAAATGACAAAAACTTATTCTTTCACAACCTAGAGGCCAAAAGTCTGAGATCAAGGTGTCAGCAGGGCCATGCTCCCTCCAAAGGCTCTAGAGTTGAATCTGACCTTGCCTCTTCTAGCTTCTGATAATTGCAGCAATCCTTGGCATTCCTTGATTTGTAGCAGCATAATTCCAGTCTCTGCCTCCATTGTCCCATGGCTGTCTTCCCTGTGTGTCTGTGACCAAATTTCCCTCTTTTAAGGGCCCACCCTAATCTACTATGACCTAATCTTAGCCTGATTATATCTGCAAAGACCCTATTTCCAAATAAGGTCACATTCACAGGTTCCAGGTGGCTTTGAATTTTGGGGGGATACTCTTTGACCCAACACAGCCCCCACTGGGACCCTCCACCTACCTCCCTGTTCTGGTTCTCCAAGTGTCACCGAGAGGGCCAGGCAGGCAAGAGAGAAGCAGAACTTTTTCCCTGACTCCAGCCTCTGCCCAGGGCTAGGCTGGGAGGGAGTGTCAGGAGGGGGAACTGATATGGACAAAGGTCTGGAGGCTGGCCAGGCTAAAGTTGTTTGAGGAGGAAGCATGTCTGCAAAACTTAGCCCCCTACCTTAGTTCCAACCCAGTCTGGCCCTTTCCAGCTACCCCCCACTCCTTTGGACAGGTAAGATGCAGTTTCTGTCCAGAATGGTGTGGAGGTGGGGGTGTCTTCGGTTCCTGCTGGCAAAGACGGTGGTGTCGGGGTAAACCCATATGAATGTGTACACCCGCCTTCTCCTCTTCCTGACCAGTTTCTCCCTCTTACCTCCTACCAGGCCCACAAGCCCTGATGAACATCATGCAAAACTGGTACTCTTTATTCACACCAGTGGAGGCAGCCACCATCGTGGCAGTGACAGGCACCACGCATGCCACACTGCTGCGGCTGCAACTGGACGGGCCACAGCGTGAGGAGCTGTGGGCCTGCGCCCGCACCCTGGCCTTGCAGTGCGCCATGAAGGATCCGCAGAACTGTGCCTTGCCCGCCCTCACCCTGTGTGAGAAGAACCAGGCCGCCTTCGAGGCCGCCTACCAGATCGTGCTGGATGCAGCGGCCGGTGGCCTGGGTCACACCCACCTTTTCACCGTGGCCCGCTACATGGAGCATCGTGGCCTGCCACTGCGAGCCTACAAGCTGGCAACGCTGGCCCTGGCGCAGCTCAGCATCGCCTTCAACCAGGACAGCCACCCGGCCGTCAATGACGTGCTCTGGGCCTGCTCGCTCAGCCATTCACTGGGCCGCCAGGAGCTCTCCGCCATCGTGCCACTCATCATCCGCAGCGTCCACTGCGCCCCCATGCTCTCTGACATCCTGCGCCGCTGGACTCTCTCAGCCCCTGGCCTGGGCCCCTTGGGGGCCCGCCGGGCTGCCAAGCCCCTGGGCGCCGACAGGGCACCCCTCTGCCAGCTCCTGGAGGCTGCAGTGGCGGCCTACATCACCACAAGTCACTCGCGCCTCACGCACATCAGCCCGCGGCACTACGGCGACTTCATCGAGTTCCTGGGCAAGGCCCGTGAGACCTTCCTGCTGGCGCCTGACGGGCACCTTCAGTTTTCCCAGTTCTTGGAGAACCTCAAACAGACCTACAAGGGCAAAAAGAAGCTCATGCTTTTGGTGCGGGAGCGTTTCGGCTGAGGGGCCGGGGTGGTCCCCCTTTGCCCCTGCCCCCTGGCACCGCTCTCCACAGGGGGCCTTGGCAGTCGAAGCCCAGGTGGCATTTCAGTATTAAGTCAGGGAAGGAGCCAGGCTGGGGCAAGATGGTCTTGCCCACTACCCACCCCAAACCCAGCTGGAGGTGGGGGTCAAGGGGGTGGAATTCTACCACATGCGTGCCTAGGAGTGTGTGAGACATGAGGATCAGAAGCCATAGCCACCACCCATAGGCCTGGAAGGGGGTGTATGCTTCAGCTGCTGGTATGACCCCCACTTGGGCACCCCCAAAGCAGCAGGCAAACTCCCCTAACGCAACTTGCAGGCCTGGCTTAGACTCCAGGGGGGCTGAGAGGCAGGACTTTCCAGAAACAGCAGTCAAAGGCAATGTAGCAGACCCCCCTACATCCTACCCTGGGTGATGGGGGACTTATGTTAGGGCATCCAGAATCCCCTTCTGCACCCTCCCCTCACTGCCTCAGGGCCCATCCCCCCCCGTCCCCCCTCCCAGGCTGCCCAGTGGGGACCATGCCACAAACCCAGTGAAGGATTTAAAGAGGCCTCAGGTCTCAGCCGCATACCTCACACCCCTCTTCCAGCAGAACCCCCATTCCCTTCAGCACCAGGGTCCCAGGGTGGGCTGGAGTCATTGCTACCCTTCCTCCCACCTGCTAGTCACTGGACACACAACTCAGGAATACGAGCGAGGCTAATGCTGTCCCCCGAACTGGGAGAGCCAGGAACTGGGCCCCCCTTATTAATGGCTGTCCATCCAGCTCTCTCTCCTGTCTCCTGCCTCACCCCCTTCAGCTTACTGTCCCTCTCCACGTTTCATAGTTGCCTTTCTATCTGCCTAAGTTCCAGCTGCTGTCTCTCTTTGGCCTTCCTCGCCCCCCAGCCTCAGCCCGAGGAGGAGGGGAGAACGTCCCACCCCCCGTCACCCCCTCTACCTCCTCTCCTCTTGTATATTAAGGACAAAAGATGACACCGTTTTGTAATTTTTTTTCTATTTATTGAACCACATATTGTATTTCCTTTTTTTCTTTTTTAAAGAATGATCACAGTTTTTTCTTTCGAATTTTATTTTGAGGCTGGGGTGTGTCTGCCTGGGCCAGAACTCCCTGTTCCGTTTCCTCTACAGAAAATCTCTGGCCTCCTTTCTGGGCACAGCTTCAAGCAAGGGGTGGAATGAGAGCGACTGCTGGTTTTATCCAACAGCCAAAATGGCAAACAGGTATAAGCGATTTCCCTGTGTCGTTTAGTCATTACAGCAACCTTGTGAGGTTTGATCATTATTTCCATTTTACAGATGGGAAAATTGAGGCTCAAAAGTTTCCAAAAATGGCACCCAGCTAGGAAGTGGTGGAACTAGACTTAATACCATGCTGCCCACCCCAGGCTGCGTGGCCCCTGCACCGCTGGGAATGGCCACTCGGGGGTGCCCTGGCTCCAGACACACGCCATTAGGGGTATGGTCTCCAAGGTGCGGAGCACGGGAACTGCTTCAGGCGCTAGGTGCTTAGCTTCCCAGGGTTCCAGAGGGTCAAGCAGCCCCAGGGACGGGTCGTTTCACCACAGTGCGCACTGATGGAGGGCTGAACGGACGAGGGAGCTGGGTCGTCGCAGAACAACCTCAACGGGCAGCTGTGTCAGCCAGACACCCCGCCGGAAGAAGGGGACACCAGGCTTAGACTAGGCCATGGTGGGCGGGGCTCCAGCCTGGACGGGGTCAGGGGGGCAGGCGTGGTCAAGACAGCAGCGCACGGGGGAGGGTGTGGTCAGCGTGGGTCGGCGGGTCGGGGGCGCTTGCACCGCAGAGAAGACTGCCAGCCCCCAAATAGGATGAGAGGTCTGGGGGACGGCGGGAACGTCTTTGATTGCTTTCCTTCCCCGACTCCCCGAGAAGCAGTTCCCTCGAGACCTTCCTGCTGACGGACAAATAGGGGTACTCGTGGCAGAGGCCTGAGTCTAGGTCACAGTCAGCGCCCGGGCAGGGAAGGACAGAGGATTTCGGAAGGGCGGGGCTTAGAGCGAGACTGGGCAGGGCCTGCCGACAGAGGGCGCCGAGGCGGGGCACGCAGCCGGGGGCGGGGTGGTGGCAGCGCTGCGCACAGCGATTGGCTCGTGGCGCCGCCATCCGCTCCAAGGGCCCAATTGGAGGCGTCCCCGCCCTCCGCGTTTCGCAGGTATGTGCGCGCGGGCCTGGGCCTGGCCGGCGCGCTTCCTGGGGCAGATTGGAGGCCGCAGAGGGCGGGGGTGGCAGGCTGAATGCTCAGCGCCGGCATCGCTGCAGCGTCTACCCCCCCTCGGATGACAGTCATCCCCAGTTGTCCTCCCTCGGCTCCCAGTCACCCTCAAATGTACCCCTCGGGCTGGGGCGTCCCTCAGGTGTCAGTCTTTCCAAATGTTCCTACTTGGGCCTGGGGTTTCCCTAATGTGACACATACCCGTCAAGCCCAGGTTCCCCTCCAGCATCCTTTTAGGCCTCCTCAGAGTTATCCCTTATGTCCCAGTCTACCCCAAAGGTCATTAGCTCCAGCATGGGCTACACTTCTGCCCTGGTTATCCCCGAGTGTCACCTCTCAGGCCCAGGGTTTCCCTCAGGGTCACCCCCATTACCAACTCAGATGAGACCTCCCTCAACGGTCCCGCTGAGGTTCCATTGGTCCTGGGCCATTGGGCTCATTGTTACCCCAGAACAGCTCTCTATCACCCTGTCTCAGGCCCCACTGGCCCTGAATGTCAGTCCCTTGGGTCCAGGGTCTCTCTCAGGGTCACCCCCCAACCCCAGATGCCCCTCAAGGATACCCTTCCAAGCCCAGGGTACCCCCTCCGTCCATGTAACTAAATTGCCGCCTCTCCCAGAGCAGGCGGGGCGATGGGGATCCTGTGGGACTAGGAGTCCCAGCTGCCGGCTGATCCACCCTACCCACTCAAAAAGCCAGAACTCCCTCGGAAGGGATGGAATGAATCACAAAACAAGACCTGCCCTCAGAAATGAAGCTGGGGCAACTTTTATTGGACAACAGGCAACACACAGCACAAACTGCCCTTCCCTCCTCCCCAAGCTTCTGTCACCACCTGCTGGGAAAGGGGCTGCCTGGCCAGCCCTGAAGGCCTGGAGGGCAGGGGGCGTCAGCCACATTAGCCTCCCTATCTGCCTCTGCAGCCCCACCCCAGCTCATCTTGGAATCAGGCAGTCTCCGCTTGTTTCCATGCCCTGGGACCACCCGAGGAGGGGAGGGTGGCCATTCCGGGCCCCAGGACTGAGCAGGCCTGCTAGTGTCCTTTCTGTGCCCACAGGAGCCTTGTTCCTGTCCATGTTCCAGAGGAGGGGGTTGCCGCTCCTCCCCCCAAGTTAGGAAGCTGCAGGGCCCAGGGAGAAGGGGCCAGGCACGCTTAGGTCAGGCCTGCCTGGTTCCGGAAACCTGGAGTTGGCATTTAACGGTCTGGGGGCCCAACACAGCTTCCTGTTGGGTAACTGGCAGCGGGAGGTGCAGGCCCAGCCTGGCCTGTGCCCTTGCCAGGCTAGGGAAAGGAGGGGCTGAGGCTCCAGGCCTGGGGGTTATCCAGGCTGGGGACACAGCTGGCTTCCCTTCTTCATGGAAGGGCCACCTAGAAGCACAGCCCAGCCTGATGTGAGGCCACGTGGGGGGTCCTCAAGTGCAGACTGGGGGGAGGGGACCTGCAGCAGACAGCTGGGCCCAGCCAGTCCTACCCACCCCATCGCAGGCCCCATCCCTCCCCAAGTCCCTCCTCTGGACACAGGTCTGGGTCCAAGTCTCTCCCCCAGGCATCGGCCCACCCAGGGACGGTGGGGCCACGGGCTCCGAGGGGGCGCGACTCCTGTTCCTGCTGAACTGAGCCAGTCTGCACAAATCAACTGTGTTTCAGCTCAGTAGGCACGGGAGGCAGAGCCCGGGGGAGCCCGGGGAGGCCCGGTAGCTGAGGGGAGGGAGGCAGGGCCGAAGGAGGCGGGGGCCCGGGGGGCGGAACTTAGCCACTGTGAACATGACTTGGTGTGGACCCTGCTCACAAGCAGCTAAGCCCTGCTCCTCAGGCCAGGCGCAGGCGGGAGCCTCCCTGCCACCCCTTCCACGGGCAGCATCTCAGTGGTGGCAGCGGTGGTGGCCCCGAGGCAGGGCCCAGGGTCGGTTGGAAATCCCTGGCAATGTGATTTGTGACAGGCAGCAAATCCCATCCCCAGGAACCCCCGCCGGCCATGGCACAGGGTGGGGGCACCGACGGGGCCGGCAGCTGGCACCTGGAGGGGAGAGAGAGAGGAAAGGAGATGATGAGATTTGGAGCCCCCTTCCCTCCAGGTCCTGGCCTGCCACCTCTGAGGCCTTGCAGCGAAGCCCCTTCCCGCTGTGCAGCAGCCATGGGAGGGAGAACCAGACCAGGAGGCTGACCTCTGGCTGTACCGTGGTCCCAGGCCCCAAGAGGTCCTTTTAGGCCAAGGAGCCTTCAGGAACTTCCAGAGCCAGCAGCAACCCGCCCCCCCGCGTGGCCTGTCCCCCCCACCCCTTTGCCCTGGTCAGGCCAAATGGGGCCAGGGCGAGAGGAAGCTGAGGGGGTGGCGGGCAGGCGGGTGAGGAAGTGATCTCACCCCAGCTGGCGCCACTTCCGAGCCTGAAGGGCAGGAGGAAACCACCGGCCCCCGCCCCCTGTGTCCCCGGCTCCAGCAGCCAAGCCTGCTCCTGGCCCTGCCCAGACTCCCCCACATCCCAGTAGAGCAGGCACCACCAGAGAGTGCCCAGCTGTGTCCCTGGGCACACACACTGCAGAGCTTCAGACCCAGGCTGGAAGATGCAGGCCTCTCCACTCAGCCTGAGATTCAAATCCCAGCTTGGCGCTTCCGCTATGCCCTCCAAGCCTCAGTATCCCGATCCATAAAATGGAGCCAAGAGCTTCTACTGCGTAGCACAGGCATGTTTCATCAACAGTGTGTATGTAAAGTTCTCAGCAAGTGCCCAGCACCAGGACCAGCTACAGAGTTTGCCGGGCCCCATGTCATTAAATCATTAAGAACTTCAAGATTACAACAGCAGAGCATTACACCATGCGCAAGGCCCTTCTGAACACAGGCCCTAAGCATTCAGTAACCAGAGCCTCTTACTAGGAGAGTTCTGTGGTCGGGAGACCCCAGGTCTGGAGCCAGCCTGCCTGGGTTTGAGCCCTGGCTCTGGAGCTTCCTAGCTGGGTGACTCTGGTTAAGTTACTCAACTTCTCTGGGCCTCAGTTTCCCCATCTGCAAAACAGGGATAATCTACTTCA